ACATATTGTGGGCATCAAGCTGGTTGAAGAACAAAAGATAGACAACCATGTATGCACACAAACGTATGTGCTTTTATAGATAGATAGGTAGGTAGGTAGGTAGGTAGGTAGGTAGGTAGATAGATAAATAGATAAATAGATAGGTAGGCAAAGAGCTGATAGCTAGATAGCTAGATAGATAGATCGATGGATAGATAGATAGCTAGCTAGATAGATAGATAGGCAGGTAGGCAGGCAAGTAGGTAGGTAGGTATGTAGGTAAGTAAGTAGGCAAGAAGATAGGTGGATAGGTAGCTAGGTAGATAGGTAAATAGGTAGATAGGTAGATAGATAGATGGCTAGATCGATAGTTCGGTCGATAGATCGATAGACCGATAGATCGGTTGATCGATAGATAGCTAGCTAAGTATGTAGACAGACAGACAGACAGACAGACAGACAGGCAGACAGACAGACGGAGAAAGAGAGATAGATAGAGAGACAGATATAGATAGATAGATATAGATATAGATAAGTAAATAGATAGATAGATAGACAGATAGACAGATAGACAGATAGATAGACATAGACAACCAGGTAGATAGATAGATAGATAGATAGATAGATCGATAGATAGATAGATAGATAGATAGATGGATACATAGATAAATAGATAGATAGATAGATAGATAGATAAGTAGATAGATAGATAGATAGATAGACCGATAGTTAGATAGGTAGGTAGGTAGGTAGGTAGGTAGGTAGGTAGAAAAAGAGAGATAGATAGATAGACAGATAGATAAAGAAAGAGAGATAGAAGATAGATAGATAGATACATAAATAAATACATAGAAAGAGAGATAGATAAATAGATGGATAGATAGGTAGATGACAGATAGATAAACAGATAGATAGACAGACAAACAGACAGGCAGACAGACAGACAGAAAGAGAAAGAGAGATAGATAGATAGATACAGATATAGAGATAGATATAGAGATCGATATAGATATAGATATAGATATAGGTATAGGTATAGGTATAGGTATAGGTATAGATAGAGATAGAGATATAGATAGAGATATAGATAGATATAGATAGATATTGATATAGATAGATATAGATAGATATAAATAAAAATATAGATAAATATAGATAGATACAGATAGTCAGAGATAGATATAATTAGATATAGATAGATATAATTATATATAGATAGATATAGGAAGAGATAGAAAGAAATAGGTAGAAAGAAAAGTACAGATAGGTACAAATAGGTAGGTAGATAGATAGCTGGACAGATAGATAAACAGACAGACAGATAGAGAGATAGATAGATAGATAGATAGATAGGTAGGTACATACATAGATAGATAGGTCGTTAGATAGATAGCTATATAAGGCTATATAGATAGATAGCTATTTAGCTAGATAGATAGTCAGACAGATAGATCGATAGATGGATAGATACGTACGCAAAGAAATAAATAGAGAGAGAGATAGCTAGATAGATAAATACATAGATAGGTAGAAAGATAGATAGATAGTTAGATAGATAGTTAGATAGATAGATAGATAGATAGAGAAAGCCAGATAGATAGATAGATAGATAGATAGATGACAGGTATACAGATAGATAGACAGATAGATAGATCATAACTAGAGAGATAGATAGAGAGATAGATAAATAGATAGACAGATAGATAGATAGATAGATAGACAGATACATAGATAGGTAGATAGTAAAAAAAAGAAGTATGTATATGGATAGATAGATACAAAGACAGATAGATAGATAGATAGATAGATAGATAGGTAGATAGATAGATAGGTAGATAAAAATAACAGATAGACAAGTTGATAGAAAGATAGATAATTCAATAAACAGATAGATGGATGCTTCTTGTTTTATACCAAAATACCGGAGTTTATGGTCTAGGAGGGTTTAAGCGTGTAAAGATCTCCAGTCTTCAGGTTCTTCGGGCTCGGGGCGGCCTGCCAGAGATCATAGCGGTTGCAGCAGAGGAAACAACAACAACAACAACAACAACAACAACAACAACAGGAACGCTTTCTAAGCGCGCGATGGCTTTGCCGATGCCGTCGTGGAGCCGCTTCTCTGTGTTGAACACCAGGTTGAGTGTGGCAATCGACACGTGGCCCGCTGTCATTATTTCAGCATAAGCATACGCATTAAATATTATGTACATATGATTACGCATGAAAGTATGTGTATGTACAAGTATGTAGTCCATAGTCTATATAACATACACAAGGGTCTGCGGCACGCCCAAGCACGGGTTTAGAATAGACAATGATCCCAGATCTTCGCTGGTTCCGCTCGCCACCGCCGCCGCCCTCTCCCTTTCCGGTGTCAACCAACCCCAACCAGCCTGCTTTTGGACCTAGCCGGCGCTCCCCCCAGCCGGTTCCGCCCCACCGAGAGTGCGAGTGAGTGTGCGATGTTCCCTGAAGCCGCCGTCTTTTTTTAATAAACTATTAAAAATAATCCAAAGTACGTGCCAAATTCCGAGATTCTTTGGCAACCTGTATTTCTGAAATAAGCCTCGAACAGTATGGGCCCTGAGACCAGTGCGATGGTTCCTTTAACCACTGCAGACAGAACAGAGACACCATGCCAAACAAGCACATATACTCGTATGCATATTCTGTATATAATTATGTATATGAGGCGATGGGGTGTGCTGGGGTCTGGGTTGGGGCTTGGGGCTGGGGCTGGGGGCTGTGGGTTGAGAGGCTGGGGGGCTGGGACTGGGACTGGGAAAGGTTTCAAAAATCTTTAGATTTTGAATTTGTCGGAAATTAAAAATTGTAAGAATGGATTTAAAAAACTACATGCAGTAAACGCTTTACATTTTTAAGGACGGTGGGGGCTGGGGGCTGGGGGTAGGGTGGGCTGACGGCTGGGGCTGGGGCTGGAGGTGGGGGTCCAGCCGGAAACATTTACAAAAACGCTTAATACCGGACGGTTTTATTTTTCGCAAGATTCTTTTATGGTTTGAAAAGCTTAAAGACGTTTCCAAATCACAACTTTTATATAAAACAAACTCAAAAAATGATTCCAAACGATTTGAAAGGTCAAAGAATTTTTTTCGATTTAAATTGCTAAAAATTGCTAAAAACTATCAAAACGGACGGTTTTTCTAAAAAATGAAGAGTTTTCGATATTTATATGTTTAAAAGTCTAAACAAATTACTTCCGGACGATTGAATCTAAGAAGAAAGTACACAATTTGAAAAGTTAATTGCTGGAGCTGAGGGCTTTGGGCTGGGCTGGGGGGCCCAGCCGGAAAGATTTAAATTGTATGTTTGAAATTCGTGAAACTCTTTAAAACATTAATTCCGGACGCTTTAAGTGCTCGGGAATTTGGAGAATTAAGTCTTTAAAGCTTTTAAAGAATGATTCCGGGCGATTGAAGAATTAAAGAGCTTCGCCTGCTGGAGCTGAGGGGCGAGGGACATCAGCCGAAATACAAATTCAAACACTTTACATCCGCGCGCTACAACACTTCTGGTGTTCTGCGGCAAAAGTAAAGGGAAGCGGGCAGCTCCGAAAAGTGGATACCCAGCCCTTGACGTCTGTTTCAGCTTTTGAGCTGGTATCCGGGAAAGACATGCGAGGTGCGGAATGTCAAAAGTAATGGTCAAAGCCTGTCTGAAAAGATTCACTGCATCCTGTACCGCTCTGTGATTGCCAGCCGTTCCGGCACATTGCATTAAAAATGTGCTTTCCCATCCAATACCTCACATTGCTCATTGCTTCCTTGGTCTCCCGACAACAGGCAGCGAGCACGCGAGCGAAGCTAAAGTCTGAGCAGTAGAACGTGAGTCGATGTAGAAACTTCGCAGGAACCTGGACAGGAGCTCTCCATGAGTCGCTATGGCGCGCCCACCTTCGCGTGCTTGCGCCCCCCAGCTTGTCGCCGTAGACATCCGCAAAGTATCTGGCACGCTGTCCTCATGTGTTCTATAGTGCCGCAAGCCAAAATCTTCAAGCTCTCGCGGATCTCAAACGAACGTCGCTCCCACTTTAATTGAGAGATACGCTTGTCAACCGGAGACATAAGCCGCAAGCCCACTGCTTCCGCGTAGACGATCATTTGCATCTTGATCCTTGTCCAGGCGTCGACACGCTTTGCGGTGCGACCCACGTCTGATCGAGAATGCACATGCACGTCGCCAGTGGCTGCCACACGTTGCCGACTGTCCAGAACATTGCCGGTGACAAACGAAGCCTCGTACTCAAAGCATTCAATCCAATACTGCCAATCGCGACCAGAAATTTCAGTTTCCATAGGGTTAGGTATTCTCAACCACAAACCAGGACTTGCTACGAGCTGCTTGATATTCAGTCGGGCGATCTGCTGGACATTATGAATTCTCTGAAAAGCAATGTACTGGCTTGTGTAACGCGGGAGCTCTGTTGCTCAGGAGCACCAAACAGATCTTAAGTTCCAGAACCCGTCGTCTGAATCTGAATCGAGCTCGTCCTCCGTTGGCAAGAAAACCGCAGGCATGGGCTGCGGCTGCGCCGCAATGGTAGTAATCCATCGCAAAGCTGTCTTTCCTCTCATTATCATGCCTGCGGACCTGAAAGACAACATCAAGCTGATTGGTTTTCGGATCTGCCATTGTGCAGTTTGGTTTTGCTTCAGAACCTCCCCTCGCATCGCACCAAGCTGTTAGCATGTCATCTCTTTCTTTCTCAAGCCTGGGAACCTCGTCGACAAAGGTTTCTGGATAATGTTCAAGATGACAACATACAACCAGCGTTCGTGCAACCCTGATGTCGTCGTACTTTTCCAGTAGATGTCGATCGACGTTCAATTGCAACCTGTAGTGTATCCCTGTACAGTCTGCCGGATGCGATAGAGGAGGTTGCATAAGGTATGTTGACTTCTAAGTAGATAGATGAACAGATAGACAGATCGATTCGATAGATTAGATAAATTAGATAAACTAGATAGGTTAGATAGATTAGATAGACTAGATAGATTAGATAGGTAAGATAGGTTAGATAGATTAGATAGATTAGATAGGTCAGATAGGTTAGATAGATTGGATAGATCAGATAGGTTAGATGCATTAGATAGATTAGATAAGACTAAACAGATTAGACAGATTAGACAGACTAGACAGATTAGACAGGTTAGATAGATTTGATAGATTAGAGATATTAGATAGTATGGATAGATAGGTAGTTAGTTGGTTAGATAAATAGGTAAATAGATAGATCGATACATTAGACAGACTAGATAGATTAGATCGATAAGATAGATAGATCGATGAATAGGTAGGTAGATAGATAGATAGATAGATAGATAGATAAACAGATAGGTAGATAGATAGATAGATAGATAGATAGATATATAGATAGACATACAGATAGATAGACAGATAGATAGATCGATCGATGAATGGATAGTGCAACAGACAGACAGATAGATAGATTTCTAAAGAGCTACTCGAGGCGATAGCTTGGTTAACAGAAGCTGCAGATTAGACTGACACAGCGGTAGATAGAAGCAATAAGTCGTATAGTTGCTTGCCTGATTGTGCTGAGTATGCAATGAAAGAGCTCTCATACAGTGTATACGGTAACAGATGCATCTGTCCGTGTGTATGCCGAATTACAAGAAACATCATAAATGTGCTCTGTGCCTTTTACAGGTGCCCTGAACTGTCAACCCCCACACTTCTGACCTCTCAACCCCCACACTCCAAACCCCTCAAACTTCCCCCCCCTACCTACAGTCTCCATTGTAGTTCCTTTTTTGGCTTAACCAGTAATATAAGAAGGATTTTATAAGGTATCCCCAAAAAAAGGAACTACAATGGAGACTATAGGTAGACCCTAAACCCAAACCCCCGCCCCGACCCGACCTGCCCAAGAAGCAGAGTTGAGAGCAGTCATGCCTTCTCGATCCATGGAGTCCTTCTCGGGTTTTAGAGGGGTTTAGAAGGGGTTTAGAGGGGGGGGGTTTAGAGGGGGTTTAGAGGGGGGGGGTTTAGGGGGGTTAGAGTTTAGAGGGGGTTCAGGATCAGGGGCTTAGAGGCCTACGGGCGGGTTTTTGGAGTCTGGGGCCTTTAAAACGATGAGGTCTGGGCTGTTACCTTCTTGAAGCTGGAGTGTAAGATCTCCAAACCTGCCCTAAACCCAAAGCCACGGCCGCAAAGAGTCCTTGTCTGCGCCGGCTTCCAGCAGAAGCCGGGCAACTCTCACATGGCCCTTCATGGGAGCTTGGCCAAAGCAAGTGGCAGGGTTTGGGCTGGGCTTTCGTGGTTAAGGATTTTGAGGTTTGGGGCTGAGGGTGCAGGCTTGGTTTCATGGTCTGTGTAGGCGTAAGAATTGCGTCTTCGGCAAGGCTTTTCGACTTTTCGACGATCCTTCAAGGCCGCATAGGCAACGAGCTCCTGAACCGCTTCGCAGCTTCCAGCGGAGATCGCCAAGAGAACCAGCTGAAGGTCGGCGAATAAAGGGAGCTCTGATGCATTCTCCAAGCAGAGGCTCCCGTGAAGCAGCTGTTGGAGGCACAAGGGGAACCTTCGTGCAGGGTTTAGGGTTTCGGGTGATGCCTGAAATCCCCAACCCCCAACCGCAAGCATCGGAACCGTTTTGGAATATCACACAAGAAAGATGCCCCCAATTTAAAGCGATCTCCCAAGGAACCCATACTGCGCACGTAATCGGAGCTTCAGGCCAGCCACATCCTGCAACTCCTCTCTATGCACAGGGAACTCTTCTCCTGACGTGTTCCAGACACGCAGCATGGAAACGGCCGGAAAGCAAGTCTTGGGCCGTAGCTGCTGCGGATTTGGGTGGCAGTTGGCCTCAAATCTGTTGCGCAGCCTGGTGTAGAGGCTATTTGTCTGCACCTCCTGATGGGTCTACCTCTGTATCCGAACAAGCTATCTATCCGGCAACCGATCGAAGCGAGTGCCGTGGAACCGCAAACGCGGCAAACTCTGAAAAACTTAAATGCTCCTGCATGCCGATGCATCTGGGTAGTTTTCCAAACTAGCGTCCCTTTCAGGGTCCTGTCTATGAAGGTGCCGTGCCATATTGGGTACCTAAACAAGGATCCTGACTTAGAGAACTACCCATGTGCAGACTTAACATAGGGGCCTTAATAATTAGAATAGGGTTTGGGGGTATGTTATACTGTAATTACAATCAGGAGCCCCCAAAACCCTTTTCTAATAATTAAGGCCATAATTATAACAAGGAACCCCCCAAAACCCTATTCTAATTATTCAGGCCTCTATATTAGAGGCTTTAGGCGCTTTTGCTCTGCATGGGCCCAAAGCCAAGAGAACAAAGAGCAGTTTTAGGGCTCAGGGTTTAGGGTTTAGGGCGAAAACTCGAACCTTGGCATGGAGTTGGATGGCGGCAAGGATTTAGGCTGGTGGTGTGGGGGAACCCTTGTAGGGTAGCTAAAACCTAAAACCCCCAGAACCACCCCAAGCCCCCCCCAAAAACCTAAACCCCAAACCCCAAAAACCCTAAACCCCAAAAACACCCTGACCCTAAACCCCCGAAAAAACCCTAAACTCCTAAACCCCCCCAAAAAAAACCCTAAACCCTGACCCCCCCCCAAAAAAAAACCTAAACTCCTAAACCCCCCAAGCATTGAAGCCCGGGAGCCGCAACGATGGGCTGGGGAACGGCGCCAACCACCGGCTCGCGGAAGTGGAGCCTCGGGTTGAAGAGGACGCCCCAAAGGGTTCCTTTTTAGGGGGGTTCCTGGTTTAGGGTTTAGGGTTTAGGGTTTAGGGTTTAGGGTTTCTGGTTTAGGGCTTAGGTTTAGGGTCTAGAGTCTAGGGTTTAGGGTTTAGGGTCTAGGGTTTAGGGTTTAGGGTTTAGGGTTTAGGGTTTAGGGTTTAAGGGTAAGGGAAAGTGTAGGGGTTCCTGTAAGAGAAAAGGTTTAGGGTTTAGGGTTCCTTCAAGGGCTCCTTTAAGGGGTTCCTGTAAAGGGAAAACGTAAGGGTCTAGAGTTTAGGGTTCCTTTACGGGCTCCTTTAAGGGTCCCGAAAAGCTTTGTTACCGGGCTCTTTTGCCAGGGTTTTGGAGAATCCATTCTAAGAGCTGTCATATAGAAGCCTAAATAATTACCTCTATTATTCTTAGGGCTTCTGATTGTACTTATACCATGAAGGAGCCGAAAACCCTATTCTAATTACTAAGGCCCCTACATTAAGTGTATGTAAAGAGGCTCTTGGAAGTGTTCTGTCGGCTCAATATGGTCTACGGGCCTAGCGTCTTACGTTGTCGGTTTAGGCTTACAGGGATTCGCGAGCATTTGCCAAGGTTTTAAAGGGGTTTACCCAAGTTTGAGGGTCAAAACCCTAAACCCTGAACTCTAAACCCTAAACCCCTAAACCCTAAAACCCTAAACCCTAAAACCCTAAAACCCTAAAACCCTAAACCCTAAACCCTCAAACCCTAAACTTCCGGTCGAAGCATCTGGGCTG